GCCCGATTGATCTCAACTAAATCGGGGTAACATGCACACATAACACATAGCAAACACATGCAACCTACATTAACACATTGGGAAAGGGGAAACGTATAACGAAACCTATGCGTGGTCATCCACAACTAAGAATACTTCCTAAGGGGTTCATACTTCTTATACCTAGGTCAACGGAGTACCAATTCAACTAGTATGCAATATACAAGACTCATTCCACCTACGAACGGTATCCGAACATCAAACTAGACATAGGCACGATAGGAGGGGTCCGTTGGGATGCCACGGGGGTTAGGGGAACTTCAAACGGGGAAGCCAGGGTCCCAAAGTGTGGGAATTTCCAGCGGGTAGCCGGTGGGTGGGGGTTCACTCGCCGGCTGCCCGCCGGTATCACTGTTCCGGGCAGCGGGTGCCCGGTGGGCAGCTGCCCGCCCGTCGGCTGCCGGCTGCCGGAGTTGCCACTTTTTGGCCGCGGGTAAGTGGCGGGTCCCCTACCCCCACCTACCCCCCACTGACTGTTTTTCACCAAAAACGCCCCGGGAACCTTTGTGGAACCCGAAACCATGCTTAGACACTTTCAAACGCAACCGACAACAACACGTAGACAATTAACAGATCGAAATCAAGAAACATACGGCACATAACCTATCATGCTTTTCTAACATAATCAATCCCCAAAACATGCGAATTCCCACCCAATATATCAAGATCAATACCGTACGAATTCCACAATACAACCTAGGATTCTAATCACTTTTAAATCAACAAGAACACGATTCATCTTTTAATATCGAGATTCGGTAGGAAACGCACATAAGCATCAAGATCATCATATAATCATCAAGAACATTACATAATCATCAATAACATCAAGAACACCATTTAATCATCAAGATCCTCTCAAGAACATCAAGATCACCAATTATCAAGATCATTATAACGAATCATTAATTGCACAAGAATATGGGGGAAACCCTAAGAGGGGAAACATAGCTATGAAAATAGGTTTTGTTGAGACATGGGTTACCTCTTAGCCTTAATTAATTCCTTGGCTATGAAGAGTCTTTCTTTAAGCTTTCTTGCTTTCTTTATTTCTTCTAAGGGAATTCTTGGAACTCTTTGGGTGGTGAGAGATTATTGTGGTGGGGGTTTTAGGTGCCTCTTATGACCCCTATTTATATTCTTAGGAGTCCTAATTATGGTCTAGTATAATGGGCTTGCTAATTCTATTCCTTTTTGGGCTAGGGTTAGGTTTTAGGGGTGGGGACCCACGGACTATGGTGGGCCTCTTCTAAATTAATTATTGTAATTCAATCCTGTCTTTGGGCAATTGATTAAACGATTTAATTGGTTTTAGGGGTCGTAACACGGGGTGTTACAATACGACAGCCTTGTGACCTCTCTCTCCACTTGAAGCACAGCAAAGAATTCACTTGGCAGTCCTTTCCCACATGCTCCTTTCCACAGTTTCTGCATCTAAACGTCTTAGCTTGATCATCGGACCCTACTCGATTTGATACATGAGTGGGGACGGTGCGGTCTTGGCTCGGAAGTCCGGTCCTTGTTTCTTGAAGTTGGAAGATCCACCACTCTCGTTCCTCTTCCTAGCAAGCTCAAAAGATCCGCGTTGCAACTGTTGGACCCGGTATAAGTCCGCAGCACTCAAGTAAGCCTCTTTCAAAGTCCTCGGCTTTCTCACGGTTAAAGCCTTGCGAGCCTCGTAGTTGAGTCCAGCCACGAAGTTCTCAACTTTCGCGAGCTCGGTGGGGACAAGCATCCTAGTGAAATGAGCGAGATCTAGAAACCTCTTGTGGTACTAAACCACCGTGGATGAACCCTGCTGGAGGTGTAGAAAATCCTCATACAACGCAGCTCGAACATGTGCCGGGTAGAACCGCTCTCGCATCCGGTCCTTCAAGGCTGTCCAGTCGAAGTCGGGCACCTCAAGGCAAGCGGGTCCCTCATGCACCCACCACAAGTCAACTTCATGACTGAAGTAGAACAATGCTCACTCCACTCGACGCTCCTCGGGGCACCCAACGACCGAGAAGATCTTGTCAAAGGTTCACACCCACTCCTCGAGCACGACAGGGTCTTCCTCACTTGCAAACATCAGTGGTCTATGGCCCGATACAAGGCGTCCAACATCTCTATGCCCGGTAGGCTGTGGTGGCGGAGCAGGATGGTTGTTGTGCAACAACGCTTCGCTGAGGGTCTGCATGGTCTACGTGAGGAGTTGCAGATTCTGGGCTAGCTGTTCATTCGTTGGAGTCTCCGGTGTGCGAGCACGTTGACGAGGAGGTGCCATGGCAAAGCTTCTAAAACAACAACGTGGTTACGAAACAAAACAACAAGCAAGCAAGCAAACTATAAACAACACACAGCTCACCGCGTGTCCTAAGAGTCCTAAGTCCAAAACACTTAGATACTTAAGGTTGCCTTAGGGTCTCAAAACCACACCTAACTTCTTAAAAGTCTATACTCTAGCATCCTAGGCTCAAACCTAGGCTCTGATACCAACTTTCACAACGGAAGTCTAAACATAAACACAACGGAAGTCTAAACATAAAATAGGAAAACCAAGGAGTGTTATGCCACGTTCACTCCAACGTGAACGCACAGGCAAAATCTAAAACCATTCGTCTAGTATGTTCAACATCAGTGGCACACAGGCCAAAACATAAACTAAACTGTCCAGGGAATCTAAACTATCCACGAATATCCTGTAAAGCACTCAAAGAAAGAGGACAACGCGCGGTCAGCGAATATTGCTGGTAGCCCATTAATACGCGTTCAATAGCATATATAGTTAGTATAATACAAAATCATTTTCGAAATGGAATACAGTATATATCAGTTCAAAACCGTAAAGAGAGAAGTCAACTGCAAAGACTCTATTTCACTCTTAAAAGAACAAGGGAAATCAACATCCCAAGACAACATCAAGACAAGAACAACAACAGTACAACTCAACACAGCCCAAGATGTAATCTACTGATCACAAAGAAGAAAACATTGGCAACTACAAGCCACAGTGACACTTCATGTCACAAGATCATAGTTCCAACCTTATGCCCTGTTCCAACCTTATAACTACCCCCGGCCATATTACGGTTCCAACCTTTCCCTCCGAGTGCCACCTTATACTTCCAAGTCCAACCTTTTGCCTCAGGGAACCGTCGTTCCCCCTCCAACAACCGCCAAACAAAACCGCCAAACGCACAATACACGAGGGTACATTGCAAGATCATAACACAAAACCGCCAAACCTTGTGAGCTATACTCATGATAACAAACCACCAAACTCAATTCATGGCCACCACGAGGACCACATCTGTACCTTGGTGATTAATGTCCCATACCATTATTCATGCAATCCAAGTACAACCAACACACACATTAATTATAGGAATCAATCAATGGATCACAACAAAGATATGAAACCATACTCAATCAACGAAGGACTACAATCCAACACCAACGATAGTCAACACAAGTTGCTACCCACAATAGGAAAGAACAAACCACACACGCTAGCATTTCAACATCAAACAAGCATGCTCATCAAACTGGTAAACCAAACTTAGTTCCGAAGAACATACAAGACTCATCATGGTTCAACGAATCACAAAGTTAAACACTTAGCACGATTCAAGATACCAAATCCTACATGGATTCCTAACATACGGTTCTAGACATACGAAACATCAAGTAGACACTCAAATAGCCCAACAAAAGAACATTGGGAAGTCAAAACATCAATTACCGGGTCAAAAGAATCAAGGGGAACAAATCCCCAAACATCACAACATTGTACCCCGCGGGTGGCGCCACGAGTGGACCCCCACCCGTGGTTCTGCCCGTGGGAACCTTTGCCCAAACAACTTGTACCCCGCGGGTGGTGCAGTACCCGCCGTTCCACCCGCGGGTACACTTCTGTACCACAATTAATCCCTTCGGGGATTTTCAACACCAAGTCCAAATTCAAGTCCAAAACACCCAAAATCTCACAAAATACAACAACATGATTGAATCAAAGAAATAGCCAAGCAATGGCATACAACAGCCCTAATAACAAGCTCTAGATATGCATTCTCACATCACAATGCATCAAATCTCACATTTCATAGCAAAAATCACAAGTAGAAGTCAATAAATCATCATATAGGTAGGAAAATAGATTTTGTAAAGCATGGGTTACCTCTTGTAGCCTAAACCTTCACTTATCACACCTTTACAAGCGTCTAACAAGGCTCTCCTTCAACTTCTACTTCACAAACACACCAAAAGACAACAAAGATTCTATCTTTAGAAAAAGACACCTTAAAAGGTACTAAAAACACTAAAGGACCAAAGATCTAACCCTCCTATATGCTCAAGATTAAGAAAGGTTGAATCTTGGAGACCAACTTGAAGAATCTGGAAATGCCCAAACTTGGCTTGAAGAAGAAGTTAGCTAATTTCTAGAGAGATTGTGGAGTTTTTCTTTTTAGGGTGTTTGGGAAAAGAATGAGAGATGACTCTAGGTTAGCTTGGAACACAATCATAAGGTGAGAAGTCTTCTTTACCCTTACTAAAGTGGAAAAAGTGTAAGGAGACAAGGGAACAATTCACAAAGCTTAGAGTACAACTCATTGACTTGGGTTGACTAGTCCATTACTAGTCCACGACTATTGAATTTTCATGATTTTAGGATTAAACTATCAATTAAGCTTGGATTAATTACTTAATTAATCCTTAAATAGAATTTGGATTTACGGGGTGTCACACATAAGGTCTATATGGACCAGTTCTAGACATCTCTCAGTAGTAATTATTTTTACTGCTTTGTGGGGAGCCCTGATTTGTTTTCCAATAGCACATGCACCACAAACTCCTTCCTGTTCTATTTTAAGTTTCGGTATCCCTCAAACAACATCAAGTTTGATCACTTTGTCCATATCTCTGAAGTTTGAATCGTCTGCTTTAGACATAAAATAGGTTGTATCATTGGTTAAGACATATCAATTGTTAGATGAACGAGTTCCTCCCCTTACAACTCCATCTGCCTTATCACGGACACTACAGCAGTCTCGATTGAAACACACATTCCAATTCTGATCACACAGCTGACTGATACTAATAAGGCTTGCTCTCAGGCCACTGACCAAGTAAACTTCGTCCAGATGTGGCAATCCCGACACATTTATAATACCTTTACCAACTATCTTTCTCTTTTGTCCGTCCCCAAAAATCACTGATCCACTACTTGGTTGTACACACATAAGATACTTAGCGTTCCTAGTCATATATCTCGAACAGCCACTTTCGAAATACCATCTTGCTTCAGTCATAGTGGCAGTCAGTACTATTGTGGGATAGCAGATTACTTCTAATTTTCTGACACAAACTTGTCTTGTGAAAGGAGTGATAGATATGTTCCGATATTTTCCTTCCTTTGATCTCTGTAGAAGAAGTAGCATTCAAGTCTGGTGTGCCATTTTGTCAGATAATAGTGACAGATTGGTGCATATTGTTTGACTTTTACATAGTTAGTCTTAGCTTTTGACTGTTGAGACTGTAGCCTCAGTGATCAGACTAGACACACTTCCTTTCTGATAAAACTGAGTTGATCTCGATGATTGGCACCTTTCATAACTGAGTTCTGAACTACCAATGAATGTTCCTTCTTTGATAAAAACAAGTGCAGACATTGAGGACTGTCCACTTTCAAATCCCAGCCCTTTTTTATCAATAGGATTGCGATAAGAATCCAGAATTTTGTCTAAGGTTGAACTGGTACCCATCATCTTGATAGTTTTGTTCCGATCCTCTAGTTCCTTTATCAACTTTCCCTCTCGAGATCTGATCTAAGCAATAATGTCATCTTTCGTCACTATAAATCAGTATTAAGTTTCTTCAGTAGCTCATCTCAATGTTTCAGATTTTCATTCAAATTCTTGTTGATTTTCACTAGTTGTTCCCAACTACCAACTAGTTTAGCGAATTCCATCTCTAGTTGAACATGTCGCTCATCATAATCATCTGATGATATGTAGGACTCACCATCAGTTTCATCTTCTTCTGAGTGAACCTCTGTTGCCGTGAAGAAAGCTAAAAAGTTTCCAACATTTTCATCAGATGGGTCATCTGTTGTTTCCTCTTCATCATCACATAGGGTAGACACAGACATAGATTTCTTTCTTTTGAGATAGGTTGCACATTCAGATTGTATATGTCCAAACCCTTCGTGAACTGATCTATTCAGAGTTTTAACTGTGTTTGTATATGTGGTTCTGAATTGCCTGCTCGTCCAGTCTGGGACTGACTGGTCTTCGTGAAAGAAGACGGTCTTGATTTCTGATATGCAGAGTTTCCACCTTTGGACTGAGTCCTATTAGGCCGTCATTGACTCCTTCGATTAAAACCTTTTAGAATTTTCTTGAAATTGTTTGTCAATAAGGCTAAAGCTTCATCATCTATATCATCTGGGTCAAATTCTCGATCAGCCAAAGCCACAAAAGCCACTGACTTACCTTTTCAGTTGAATATAGGGTCGTCATCAGCCAACACCTGATGTTCATAGATATGAAGATTCCCCATAAGCTCACCTATACTCTTCTTCTCCCAGCCTGTGTTTTCCTTAATTGCAGTCACTTTCATTTTGAATTGTTTGGGTAGAGAACGAAGGATCTTCTTGACGACTCTTTCATCTATAAACGGTTCCCCAAGTATTGATGCTCTGTTCATCAAATCTTGAACACAACTATGGAAGTTAGATACAGTTTCTTCTTCACTCATTCTGAGAGTTTTGAATTCTGATCGAACCATCTGGAGCTTTGACTGTTTGATATCACTGCTACCCTCAAATCTGGTTTCAAGGATTCCCCATACTCGTTTTGCCTCTTTTATTCTGGTAACCAAAGTGAAGACGGATTCATGTAGAGATCCTACAATTGAATTCAATGCTTTATTATTCAGACCAAAGGACGATATTTCATCTTCAGTCCAGGTTTTTATCGGTTTGATCCCAATGGTTCGATCATCATTCTAGACTCTCGGAGGGCTCCATCCAGTGAGGAGAGTACGGTAAACTCTGGTGCCTTGAGCATGAAGGTAAATCTCCATTCGAGCCTTCCAAAAGGAATAGTTATGACCATGCAATTCTGGTGGTTTCATATTTGCATCCATCATGATTCAAACATAGGACCAGCCAGAACTCACAAGCCGAGAGTAGTCCAAATATCTCAACAGATAACCAAGCAAACAACTTCTTAAAGTAAGAAAAATGCAAAAATCTTTTCCCGTATGGATCAAATCATTATGTTGACTTAAAAGCTCTGATACCACACGTAATTTTTCATATTCTTTTAAATTGGAATTATTGATTTACTTTCTTGCAAACTGAATAGGTGACTGACTAACTCAGATTCTCAATCAAGCAGTCATTCAGATTGATAGGCAGATATTTCGTAAAGCGGAAGACTAAGGTAGAAAGTAAATCAACACATATATTTGCTTACCCAGTTCGATACATTGTGTATCTACATCTGGAGGACGATCACCGATGCGTCCAATCCACTAACTCTGAATCCAATGTATAAAGGTAGAGAAAAACAATCTCACCCAAGTGTCCCACACAAGGTCATTACCCAGTCTACAAAGGTTTAGTGGGTTGTTGAAGTCGGAGAGCCACGCATTCAGAAGTCCAATGAAATCCCTTCAATTGGAGAGCTAACTCTGATGAAGTCCGCTTCAATGACACAGTCTCACGTTGTTTCCACAACTGAGTGATCTTCGCATCCAATCGGTTAAGAAAGTTTATAATTCTCAAGTTCTTCTTCGTAATCAACATGAACTTATTGTTTTGAGAAGATGCATGACAACCAAAGATGTGTATTCTGTTTAGTATAGAGTGTTTCGGCTTCAATCAATGCAACCCTAACTTCTGAACGAATAAGTATATATATACTTCTTGATTTGGACACTCTCCAAATATATCTCTAGTTGTAAAAGGTAGGACTTTTTGTGAAGACAGAAATCTTGAGATTCGGTCCATACCTCACAAGATGATTCGCTGATATTCTTTCCAAAACCATCGTGTAACACCCCTAAATATATATTTAAAACCTCTAAAATAAAGGCTAATCTCTTATTAAATCTCAAACCGAGCATGAACTAGACATACTAGTCGAGGTGCTATGCCACATCTGAGTTGGAGAACTCAGATGCACAGGCTAAACTAACTAACAGAGCATAAACCACAACTAATACCCAAATACAAATCAAGGCACGCATGCCATCTCATCCAAGCTAGAACTATCTAAACTAAGTCTACGAATCCCACTAGCGCGCTCCAAAGCTACTCGCTGTCTCTGAGAAACATTCGGTGTAACAACCGTCAGCGAATAATGCTGGTAAACCACTCCAACACGTTAAGTAAAATATAGGTAGATACAAGAAATTCATTTTGAAACTGGATTACATTTATACTTACGAGACTCTAATTTAAATCCAAGATCAAGAGTCAAGGCATATAACAGACTCAATATCATAGAATAATCATAAGAACTAATAGGCACTCTAAACATGCAATGCAAGACATAACAGGTAGATAACCATGAAAATAACTAAGACATTCAATACAATGAATTAGCAAGTAGTCAACAAAGCACACAATTTGTCATCAAACCATATACCAAGTTCCAACCTTGTAGCTCCCCTCCGTCCTTATATCAGTTCCAACCTATATCTCCAGGCAACCCTTATATCCCCACCCCTTATGCTTCCGGGCAACTACATGCCCCCACCGACGAACCCACCTTTCAACCACCAACATATCAAGATGGTGCTGCAGTGCCATTCAATGATCCGCACCTCTAGTGCCGATATTAAGGGGTTAGCGCATGTAGCTCTAACATGACACCGCATCACTTATAACATGACACATGCCTAAGGCAAGCAAATCAAAAGTGGGCGTGTGCCTTTAGCACAGTCACCGCTATGGCCTGAACCTTTTGTACAATGACCGGGCACAAGTGGTGCTAACCGCCAACAGTTTATTTTCCACCAATCACAATCTCATCATCATCATTATCATCATCAGTCACACTGGCCATTGCGGAATAACCACGATACTCATCATCATCAATCAATCAACACATAATCACATAACAATCAAGACATAACAAAAACGACACGTATCACACATAAAATCCTTGAACAGGGTACAACGGGACACAACGGGACGCGGGGAAATATCAAACGAGGAAAACACCACGAACCACGTCGGTATTCCAGTGGGTAGGTGGCGGGTGGAGGACCACCCGCCAGCCACCCGCCGGCGACCGGTTACTATTCCAGCGGGTGGCCGGCAGGCAGACCACCGCCCGCCGGCTGCCCGCTGGAACAGTATTGCGGGCAGCGGGTAGGTGGCGGGTGGTCAGTCCCCCCACCTACACCCACTGATACATAGGAAACTTTATGGTCCCGGGATCCCTCCTGGAACCCGAAACCATGTCCGAACACATTCAAACACATAACGACAACACCACGTATTCAATTAAAAGAATTAAACCAAGAATTACACCAAATACATCCTAACGCGATTCCTAATCATGCCAAGACTCAACATAACCCATATAACGATACAGGGACATCCGAAATCACAAGAACATCTATATGCAAAATCCTAAACACAAGTCCTAGGCTAGACCCAACACCCGATCATGCATAATCCCAGCCAAATATACCAAGACTATCGTAATGCGAAATCCACGTTATAATCCTAGGGCTCTAGACATAATCAAAATACAAGATCATTCATATAATTTATCATAGTATCAAGAATGTCAAGATTATCACATAAGCATCAAGATTATCACATAAACACCAAGATTATTACATAAACACAATATAAACCCTAGGCAAAGCTCTATCAAGACTCAAGCACAAAATCCTATATCAAAGGAGCCAATGAATAAGATATATCAAAGAAAATAGGTTTTGTCGAGACATGGGTTACCTCTTAGCCTTAATTAATCCTCCCTTGGCTATTAAGGTTCTTCCCAAAGATTTCCATCCGATTGATCTCCATAGGCTTGGTGGTGGCGAATCTCTTGGGAATAATTTCTTGTAATATAACTGTGGGTGGTAAGGGTTCTAATTTATTTCTCACCCCTTATTTATAGAATCACGAATCCTAATCAGAATTTGAATAGTAAAGGCCTACTTTCTTTATTCCTAATAGATATATAGGTCTAGGATTCCTAATTAGAATCTGACTAGTAAAAGGTTTACTCTCTTTATTCCTAATAGGCTTAAGACTCTTGTTTAGGCAAGGGTCCACGATCCATGATGGACCACATTAAATAATTAAAGGGAATCCTAACCAAATTAAATCCTTTTTAATTATCATTAACGGAATTAATTAAATAATTAATCTGGGATTGAAGTCCGTAACACGGGGTGTTACACCCTCCCCCCCCCCCCCCCTTTACAAGAAGCTTTGTCCCCGAAGATTAGGAATCATTACGGGGATAACGAGTCAAACTAGTACGGTGGTCATATAGAGAAAGTATTCTACGTGGAAAATATATAACTATGTATACTGGGTTTTTGGGAATGATTGGGTTAAAAGGATAGAGAGAGTGGATGATTCGGGTCTCAAACTTGAGGACAAAGTTAATTTTGGAAATATGATCAAAGTTTTCAAAGTGGCAACTTAGGAGATGAGGTTGCAACCTTGTATGGTATCATTTGAAATAAGGAATCAAGAATGAGGTTTGGAATTGTAGAATGGATTCCT